GCTCACTTCAGAATTGTGATAGGGAAAACTGGAAATAACCAAAACTCTTCCAACAGAATATATAAATAATCACCAAGTAATCCTGCAACGGAGTTCTACGTGCAGCAGTTAAAATAAATGAGCAAAACTTCATGTACCAACATGGATACACCTCAGAAACAAAGTGTTGAGGGGGAAAAAAGCAAGATGCGAAGTATATATACTCTGCAATAATACTTGTATTAAGTTAAAAATATGCTAAATAGTATTACATATTATTTATGGTGACATATGTAAGGAAAGGCATAAAAATATTCATGTCAATAACATGTATTAACTTTGGAATAGTGGATGCCTCTGCAGAAAGCAGAAAGGAAATGGGGTTAGGGAAGAACATTTTCCAGAAGATAGTCAACCATGCCTGTAATATTTTATTTCAAAAATAAAATCAGAAGAAATATGGTAGAATGATGGTTACTGTATTATGCTCTGTAATTTCCCATATGCTTGAAATGTTTTATTTAAAAAGTGAATAACTTTAAGGTAAAACTTCAGAAAAGACTTTATGCTAATGGCTGATAAAATTCCTAAGAAATGCTCAGATTTCAATAAATCTTAACCATAAAAATTGTCTACATTCTCATTGTGAAATATAAATACGTATTTCAATTTTGAGTATGTGTCCATATTATAAATAAGAGAGCTATCTAGACATAAATTGTAAATACCCTGATCACAGGGTAAAAATATAAAATGTGCATATACACACGTAGGTAAATATCAGAAAGGTCATTAAGGAAAAAAATATGGACTTAAGCTAGAAGGGTTTGGGGTAAAATTTCTTTATTTTTAATTTTTAAAATTTGACTCAATGAATGAACTATATCATGGACTTGCTGACAAGTGTCAGGAATAATATAGCAGCAGAGATTTAGACAAATAGAGCTCTAGACATGCACAGTGGACAGTAGACGAGTCCTTTCGGGCCTTCCACTGACTGTATGTCTTTCTGTTAATCCAGTTAAACAAACAGGCACACAGCAAAACGACTAGGGTCAAATCACTATTGCCACCCAATTTTCAAGGGCAATTGCAGTCAAGAACCGGCCCCGGGGAGACACTTTGCTGTGCCTTTAACGAAGGCGGGGCTTTTAAAACTCAGTTGTTCCATTCATGTCTCAAATCAATCAGATGAAATTCACCTTTTACGTGGTGGCCTGAATCCTGATAGCTCAGCACACTTGATAGGTAATTTAATCATCTCTGGTGTAGATGAACGCAAACTCGAATTAGCTACTGAAAGAGTTGGTCTTCTCCGAGATAGCTGTGCTTTTCCACTTTTATGCAAGAGCTGAGCTTCACCAACTGGCTGGCTGGAGGTGTTATTAAAAATTTAGTGAAAGAAACAAAGGTGTGCTCTGGTGTCTCCTGTTACCCTTTCTACTGTTACTCCAGCAGACAAAAGACATAGGGCCTGCCTCATGAATAATGTGACATGGAATATTCACAATCTATTTTTAATGGAGTCAAGTAATAACATTAAGAGAGATATTTGCAATCTTCAAATTTCACACAGTACCAGGCACAGTAATTTGTTTTGATTCTGCATTGGGGATATCAAGGTATGTTTCCCCCCCAAAAAAGGGCACACTGTTAAAAAAATTAAACCTCCTCATGTATAGCATAAACTGGGATTATGAAAATGGACCAAAAGTTTTAAACAGACAACTAGATTTCAGTCAGTTCAATCAGTTCTACTTACCCCTCCATGCACCCTCTTTACTTTTCAAACCAGGTTGGAAATTCTCAACCAGTGTACATGGTGAATTCTGTGGGAAGGAAGTTTTTGATATTTATTCAGAGAACTTTGCTTCTCAGGACACTAGGAAGAGGTTCCTGGATACTGCAACTGTTCACCCATCAGTTCTGGAAAATTATCTTAAACTGGCATTATAGCCCAAACAAATTTAAATTTTGAATGAGAATAAACTGACATGGAGGACTGAGATTTTGGAGAAACTGGAGAAAAGCTGCGTCAAAGCCTCCGTGACCCACCAACTCAGAGTCCTATATGTTGTTTATTTCCTGCAATTTCTCTTCCTTTTGTGCTGTAAGGAACAGAGCCAATCAGGAGCAAGCAGGAGTTTACATTGTCTGCTTATTCAGTTAACATCTCAGCAAATATTTATTAAATATGTGTTTTTTAAATTGATTTCAGAGAGAGGAAGGGAGACAGAAACATCAATGATGAAAGAGAATCATTGATCGGCTATCTCCTGCACGCCCCTTACTGGGGATGGAGCACGCAACCTGGGCATGTGTCCAGACCAGGAATCAAGAAACTATGACCTCCAGCCCTAACCAGTTTGGCTCAGTGGATTGATCATCAGCCTGCAGACTCAAGGGTCCCAGGTTCGATTCCAGTCAAGGGCATGTTCCTTGGTTGCAGGCACATCCCCAGTAGGGGGTGTGCAGGAGGCAGCTGATCAATGTTTCTCTCATTGATGTTTCTAGCTCTCTATTCCTCTCCCTTCCTCTCTGTAGAAAATCAATAAAGTATATTTTAAAAAAAGAAAAGAAAAGAAACTATGACCTCCTGGTTCATGGGTCGACACTCAACCACTTAGCCACACTGGCCGGACAGTAAATATTTATTGATGTGTGCCAGGCACTGTTCTGGAAGATTCAGCAGTGACCAAATAAATAAAGCTCCACAAGATACTGTGCTCACCTCTGTATCCCAGCACTGAGAACAGTGCCAGGCACATAGTAGGTGTTCAATCAATATGTGTGAAGTTGATTTGAACAGAAATGGACTGTCTGATGGTGGTCACCATGAGTCATGCATACCTTGGCTGGAGATGTTTTTAAAAAGCTACAGGTAGTTGGGATTTAGGCCAGCACCTTATTCTGGTTTAAGGAATTGATTTGTGCAAGAAATTCCCATAGGTGGATAGAGCCAGAAATAACCCAGAGAGCAATTTCCCTGCCCCTCATGCATCTTTAGATTGTAACTTACCTTGGGCATAGCAGCTAACCAATCTCAGATACCATCTTTCCAGTCTCCACAGAATCAAAGTAGTCAGGGTTATACTGGGATGATACAACCATATCTACATTTTATAGTCACGGAAACTGATATCAGGGAGGTCACAGGATTTGCCCAAGTCACATGATGTGTTGGTGACAGCTGCGATTAAGACTCAATCTCTAGACCTCAGGCTTGTGATTTCTTTATTCATCTCGCAACCCTCTGTCCTTTCTTCTGAAACTCTCAGAAAAAAGAGCCTACGTAAAGGGTGTCCCAAAATTCACCCAAGATTTGAATTTTGTGTGAGCGTTAACAACAACAACAAAAAATAAAAGCCTAATTTTACTTGGTTTATTGAATCAGATTCTAATATCTGTTGCCCTTTGATTTCAATACCTTCAATTTGATAAGCATTACCAAGTACCAATTATGGCCCAGGAGCAGGGACAATGAAGACCACGGCTTTGCGTATGTGCCAGCAAAGCCGTGGAGGCCATTTACCCGATGTGCTATTCCATACATAACCCTATATTGTATACTTTATGAATCAATAAAAAATTTACAATTTTTAATTATAAACCTGTGTTTTCTATCAAAATTACTTCTTGCGTGAATTTTGGGACACCCTTTACATGCTCGACTGTCAAGAGACTCTACGAGGTAGGAGCCTCGTATTGTGCACCTTGTTTTTCTATTAATAAATAAGACCCTCTGAGGCATAAAAGAAAAAAAAAGAAGCATCGGAAAACCAGAGCAACTGAATTCCACCCGCTTCTGGATGGTGGCTCGTCGGCTTTACTTCAGTGCCAACTCCCCCTACAGACTAAACCAAAGGACTTCCACAAATCCCCTGCCTAAATAAAAAATTAAAAAAAGCAATATGTAAGCATCTCAATACTTTATTAACTTAAAACATCACTCTAATAAATATGTATGAACAAACATAATGCACTCCAGAAGATCTAAAAAACATTGATAAACCTCGCCAAAGGAAAATACCATTTTTTTTCTCTCTCTGTGATGCACATGGAAGGGCCAAGTGAGAGCCTTCACTCCCCCACGCCTGCTAGCTTAGGCATCTTTAAAAAAATTCAGGTGAACAGTAAAAAACTGAGTATTCACACACATCTTTGAAGTATCTGTTCAGTTATATTTTGTTTGTGGTTGATGAAATCCAAAGGGGTCCGAAGGGAAGGTTCACGATTCTGCTTTGTCCTCTCAGAATTCCTTCGGAGGAAAAGCACAAACCCAGCCACTGGAGGTGTGACTGTTAGCCTGGGGCCATGACCTTAGTATCTGGTTCCCCCGTATCCAGCGGAGGACCTGGTACCATGGTAACCGGTGGCCAACAAACATTTGCTGAGTAAATGGATGCTATCTTGTCCTAAGGCGCTGCTCTGTGCTTTCACCTCCTCCCTGATGAAGCCTTCGCCCGGCCTCTAATCTCTTCTCATCGCCAAGTCCACTGTTCTTGAACTCTTTCTTGGGGCCAGGCTGTTCAGTGTGTCTTGTCACTTCAAAAGTATGAAACTACTTCCCCAAATCAGTTTCTGAAACCGTCTTCAAGTGGGAGAAATGATTCCTCCAAGAGTTACAGGCAGCACCTCACAGAAAGGGGTCACCAGACCCCCCAAAATGAAAATAAAAATACTCCTTCTTCATTCTGGATTTAAAACAATAACGGCATTAATGTGTGTCCACCTTGTAAATAGTGATTCCTCCTCTTCCACACAAGTATCTGGGGTCGGGCAGGAGAAGGAGTGAAGAAACCTGAAGGGCCTTCCTGTCTTGGGAGCAGGACAGAGGGTCCCAAGATACAAGACTTCACGTTTCGAGGGGCCGTTACCCTGTGTCCAAGGCACCCAGAGTCATTTGGATCCCACTCCTGGATGAACCTTAAAAAGGTAACATCCCCTCTGGGGGCTCACCCAGGTGGGATCTGCAGCCTCGGGGGCCTGAGAAGTCAGAAGCGGCTGCTGGCCAGTGGGCAGGCCGCCCTCCCTAGTGTTGTGTGATTGCACGTGGCCCGCCAGGGCACTCATTTGAGCCCGTGCTGCGTCTCCCGGTGCCGCCTGAGGTCCACCTTCCTCTGGAAGCCCTTCCCACACAAGTCACAGCCGAAGGGCTTGAAGCCTGTGTGCTTGCGGCTGTGGGTGATGAGGTTGGAGCTCTGGCTGAAGGCCTTGCCGCACACCTGGCACTTGTGGGGCTTCTCACCTGCGGGAATGGAGGGGGGAGGGGAGGAAGTATGAGTCTGTGATGAAGCCAGAGGGGACTCTCTGTGACCCACATGCTCTTGACGGCAGCTGGCAGCACCCGGTCTAAGGCCTTCAGGTGACGTGCAGGGTGATGTGTTACAACGCAAGTCCCCGGGAGCCAGGGGGGAACCAGGTGAAAGGGAGACTTTCTGAGTGGGGGTTCCCAGCCAAAGGCCTCAAACCGTTTCCTGCTAAACGGAAACAGCAAAGGCCACGTGCCCTCCCCAAGCTCACAGCTGAAGCCACCCTGGGAGGACTCCCGTGACTTTAGAAGCAGAGCGCTCCCACAGCAGATGGTCAGCAGGAGGGGTGGGGAGAAGGGTGGGGGCGGCTCTTCAAACCATGTGACTGTTCTAATTCAGAGGAAGTTTTCAAATCTGAGTTTCCAAGCAGGTGTTGGTTTGTATGGACCAGTGAGCCTGTCTTCTTTCCTGCTCTTGAAGGACAATAGACTGCATCTGAAGCATGGGGATTTCTTACAGTCTTGTTTTTTGAAATCCACATTTGGGCCACAAAGTATTTCTTTCTTTTTTCTTTTTTATTTCAGAGAGGAAGGGAGAGGAAGAGAGAGATAGAAACATCAATGATGAGAGAGAATCATTGATTGGCTGCCTCCTGCACGCCCCGAACTGGGGATCGAGCCCACAACCCAGGCAGGTGCCCTTGACTGGAATCGAACCTGGGACCCTTCAGTCCGCAGGCCGATGCTTTATCCACTGAACTAAACCAGCTAGGGCCACAAAGTATTTCTTAAGGTAGCTGATCCTTTTCTATCTTGATTTTACTTTCTTTTTACGAGGTTAATCAGAGGGTTCTTTATATACTAGCAACTCTTCACCACAGATTAATAAATAACATTGAAAAAGTTTTGTATTTTCCCCCAATTCATGAGCTGGTTTAACATTTGGGGAAAGAGCATGGATTTCCAAATAGTCTCAGCATGGCATAGGGCTGGACCCTGGAAAAAATGCAAAAGAGATGACGTTTGTTTTTGAGAAACCCTCAGTCCCTCTTGCCACACCTCTTTCTGTCTTCCTGCTTCAGATTTCCTTGATAAGGAGCCACCCATCAAAATGTATCCTATCCCTTTAGGGTCAAACAAATCTGAGAAACGAATTCTAGCTATAATGTAAATGTTTGATAAGGGCTTACTGTTCCATTCAGTCAAGATCTTAGTTGCATTTTGATAAGCGTCTTGAATACCTCTACTAAAAGGAGTGGGTTACATGGAAATTTCAGGCAAGAGGGCATGGTTAAAATAGGCTATTTTTCTGGATATTCTGATGGGGCCATCTACAGTGCCCAAGCATATTTATAAACATTAATGATAGGTGTTTGGAACACACGGCAATTTTTTAAAAATCAGTATTCATATTCTGAAATAAAATAGTCAGATTTCTGGTTCTAATGTCTTGTTGACTATTAAAGAGAGTGCTCCTGGCATTAAAACTGCCACCTGCACACAATCCAAACCTCCGGGAAAGAGTACAGAACTAAATCATCCCATCTCTCTGCATTTCAGGATGGTGATTTCAGCTCCTACTTTATGGGACGGCAGTAAGGATCAAATAAAGTGACAGACTTAAAAGCACTTTATAAATTATAAAGCATTGTAATAGACAAAGAATTATCATGACTATGTCGTGAACTTGCTGATGTTCTTAAAAGGGCAATAAGTGAATAGAAGCTTTTTATATCTACCAACCCCCACGACTCTGAAAATAGAATACAATAAACAGTGGTCAAGAGCACAGACACTTGAGGTCAGACAGAGCAGAATGCAAGTCCTGGCCCTGCCACTTGCTAGCAACGTAACCCTGGGCGGGTTAATGAACCCTTATGGACCTCACTTCCCTCACCTCTAAAATGGGGATAAAGAATAGTCTCTTTCTCCCAGGGTTGTTGTGAGCATAAAGTGATAACGCATTTACAAAGTGCTTAGCAGACAGTGCAGTCATATTTACCATTGTTGTTCCCCCCTCACTCAGAATAAGCTCTCAGACTCCTAAAAATGCAGCCAAGAGGCCACACATAAACCCCCCCCCCCCAAAAGGCCGGGTGGGAGCCCTAGAGAAAGTCCTCCACCTCTAGGTAAACATTTAGAGCAATGGCTCTGAGAGGACCCTGGGGCTTCATATTTCACCCAGAGCAGGCAGCAGTTGGAGCAGCTGCTAAATTAGAGGAAAATATTCTTTGTCAGGACAGGGAACCTGCAGCTGACCTGCCGAGTGGTTCTTCAGATACAATCCCAAATCAAGGCCCCTCTGGGGAGAACCAGGTATGCAAATGAACCTCAGAGAATCTGCTTTGCTTTCGTTTACACTCTGCAGTGATTAGGCCTCATTTGCCACTCATTCCAGGGGGCAGACTCTCACAAAGATGGTGGATTGTATTGGCCTCAGGGGCCCCCCATCCCTCACTGGGTGTTTCCTACAAGCCACGGGCCTTAGCTCACCAGTGTGGATGAAGGTGTGTTTTTTCATGTCTGACTTCTGATGGAACCTCTTGCCACAGTACTGACAGGGGTAGGGCCGGGTGTCTGAATGGATGAGGAGGTGTGTGGACAACGTCGATGACCTCTTAAAGCTCTTGCCGCAGATCTTACAGTCAAAGCTCCTTTCCTGTGGAGAGAAAAGTGTGGCATTCTGCTTGCAGTCGTCTAGGCTGCCGGTCTGCTCACCACGGACCCGACTCAAAACCAGGGCTTTCCCTTCTCTCAGACTCCCTTTCCAATTAGCCTGAGCCCCTGATCCTCTCCCTTCCCATTCATGTCCAACCTCTACCTTCCCCACCCCTCTCCTCTTCCCCTTTAACATTTTTTTCTACCCGAACCCTTTTCACCCACAACCCTCCACGCCCCAGGGTAAAACTGTATCCCCACCCTGCTTTTTTGACACCCATTTACAATAACTCCTCCACCCTCTTCAACAGGAGGCTCCGACCTCAGTCACTTGAGATGCCCCCTCCCTCCAGCCAGCCGCGGGTGTTGAGATGAGAGAATACTCTTTTCAGTAAGTATCTGTCAGTAAGCACTGTTCTGTCATAGTTACTTCGCACTACTTTGCTTATCTATCTTCTGTCTCTCAGCTAAACTGTAATCTCCGTGGTGGGGGGGGGCATCATTTCAGGGACCCGGTGTGTTATAGGATTCGCATGTGCCTAGCACCTGTAAGTTGGGCAACAAATATTTTAAACGAAGGAATGAAAGCACAGTAGGACAAGTATGCTGGGATCAATGCAGATTAGCTGAGAGGATGAAACCGAGCTAATAAATCCGACATGTCAGCAGCAAGGGTGCATACGAACTCAAAGTCATGGTCAGGATCACACTCTGGAGGCTCCCAGTGACATGACACCAAACCCTAGGGTTGCCGAGGCGGCCGGCCACCCACATTTCCCTACACACCTAGGCAACGGGACATGGCCGAGGAGACGGGGCAGCCCAGGAAGCCCAAGGAGAAAACCACCAGGTGGAGAGGGGCCGGTGCCGCACAGAGACCCTGAGGATCTCCGAACGCGAAAGCCTAAGCAGGATCGTGCGAGGCCGTCGTGCGCCCCCCGCCCCCCATCCCCGCTCACCTGTGAGTGCACGGCTTTGTGCTGCTCCAGGCTCACCGCGTGCCCGAAGGTCTTGCCGCATATCTCACACGCAAAGGGCCTCGTGCCGCTGTGAGACCTGCGCACGTGCACCTCGAGCCCGTGCGGCGTGGAGAACACCTGAGGCGGGTGGGGCCGGGGGAAAGGTCGCTGAGAGGAGCCGAGGGGCGCGGGCGCGGGCTGGGCGCGGGCTGGGGGCGCGAGCGCTGGGCAGGCCACGCCGGGAGCGCGGGAGCCTCACCTTGCTGCACTTGATGCACTTGTAGGAGCCGCCGCCCAGCAGCAGGCGGGTGCACAGTAGCTCCGACTCCACCTTGACACCAGCGCCTTTGTCCGCGTGCAGCCCGTGGCTACGCTCCGGGTACAGCCCGCCCGCCGCCGCCGTCGGCCGCTCGTACAGCCCGGCCACCGCCGGCCCGAAGTCGCCGTAGAGCCCCAAGCCCGCGCCGCCTCCTGCGCTACCTCCGCCGGGCACCCCGGCCCCCGCGCCGCCCGCCGTCCGCTCCGGGCCGTACAGCGCCGCGGGGTGGCCTGGCTCCGGGGTGCGCTCGCAGAAGAGGCCCAGGCCTGCGCCGCGCTCCAGGGCCGCGCACGGCCGGTAGCTCTGCACCAAATTCCGCAGGTCAGAACCCACCAGGCCGCTCCACGAGTAGGGCTTGAAGGGCAAGGGGAAGGGCTGAGCTTCGTCCAGCGATGGGCACACCGACTTCTCCGAGGCTGAGGAGACACGAGAGGGCGTCCGGTCAGGCTTCACGCGGACTGCCAGGCCCCCAGCATTTGTGCAGCACCCCGCGCGCCAGCTGCCGCGCTAGATGCCAGGGACGCCCGCAGGATAAAACGCAGTCCCGGTCCCTGAGGCCTCGAGGACCACTGGAGGCAGCAAACAGATCGTGTAAACGACATCGGGCGAGGAGGTCGGTCATTCTGGGTCATTCTGTGCCAGGACAGCGGAAGCGCACGAGGTTAAGAGGGTCTTTGCCGGCTCCGCCAGCGCACCTGGTGTTCCCACAGAGAAAGGCGCGCCTCGCTGCCTGTGCGCAATCAATGCTCTGAGCCCAGCTGTGAGGGCGGAGAGGGCGGCCTGGGCAGCACTCGTGGGCAGAGGGCCCAGCTCCGGCGCTACCCGGGCCCTGATGGTCCCCACTCAGTCCCTTTTCGTTCCTGAGATTGATAAGGAGGGAAGGAGAGGCCCAATCAAATGTGGCCCGGCCTACCCAAGACCTACCTTCCTGGGAAAACAACCGCAACAACTGCAAAGGGAAGGCGTTACATTCCTTAAAGGTATTAAGGGCTCACCCAGTGCAGGTAACGAAGGAGCAGCGGGAAGGGGATTTGGGGCTTGAACTGCCTGCCAAATACTACTCCCATTTCCATCATAGTTTGACAGGGGGGGGGGGGGGAATCCAAATTTCTTAGAAAATAATTTACAATTAAGGTTTAGCCACCAACTCTAAAAGGGAATAACTTTGCAAATTCGCAGCTTTCTGCATCCACCCCAACCAACAAGAATCTTGCTAAAAACCCAAATCCCCAACAGACTTTCTGTAAGTGCACGCGGATCTGCCCATCTGCTCGGGCTCCGCAGACCCCTCTCCGAGCGAACCCCTTCAGAGGGAGGCTGCAGCACTCCGAGCTCCCGAGGGAGAGAGGCCGCGGTGCCCAGACCTTGCGGGTGGTGTCCAGCACAGCCAAGAAGAAACCTCGGCTTGCTGGCTCCCAGACTCACGCGCTGGAGCTCCGTCTTTAACCAAGTCAACGCACCGAGTGCGGGATGGGGTGTGTGTGTTGGGGGGGGGGGTCCTTTTAAAACTAGTAAATGCAACCTTAAATAACCGACCCTTGGCAGGTCCGGCCGGTCTGCGCTCTCCTTCCCCAGGCCCCACCCGATGTGCTCTCACTCAGTTTTCTTGAAACTCGACTTGCCCCGATGGAAATGAAACCAGCCTGCTGGTCCCCAGAACTGGACCCACCAGGCAGAACAAAAAAATAAAACGGGCCCCCAATCCCGCCTCGGAAGACCCAGCGGGGGGCCGAGATTTTCATCCGGGATGGGTTCCTCCCGCTGAGCGCCCAGCTCTGCGAGGGGCCCCCACGCCACGGAAGCGAGAGTACATTTTAAAGCCAATGACACTTTCCTCTCAGACTTCCCTGATCTCCATTTGTTGGAGACTCGGGGTTCTGGATTCTGGGATCCCAGCTCTTTCTAAACAATGAACCCTGGCCTGAAAACGAAATGTCGACGTTGCTGACGCTGGAGACGACTCATTTATTTTTTTTCTCACCCACCCGCTCTGCGCAAACAAACCGGGTAGGGATGAACAGCCCGGGTCCCGCCGCCTCGGGTCCACGCAGCGGGTCCCGCAAGCAGGTTGCCACAGTCCCAGAAAGTCGGGTGCCTCCCTTGCGGTCCTTTCCCCCACGAAAACTCTCCCTCCTCTAGGAGAGACCCTCCGCCACCCAGTTAGCATTTCTGCGCCCAAAGCTGCGCGGGTCCCTTGCCCCGCCGAGCGGTCCCTGCGCCCCGGACCCTGGCGCTCCCAGCGGGTCCTTACCGGGGAGACACGGAGGGGCGACGGCGGCCTCCAGAAGTCCTCGAATTCCGAGCTGCGGTCGCAGACGCTGCCCTCGCTGCTGCCGGGGGACGCGGAGGCTCCGTCGGGGGTCTCCGTCAGCTGCGACTCGGGAGACAAACGGCTCCCGGGCTCCACCTTCACCCCCGCTGCGCCCGAGGTGCTGCCTGCGGAGAGGAGGCGGGATCGGTGCTCAGGCTGGGCCTGGCTGGGCCCGACGGTTCTGGAGTGGCGCTCCTCAGACCGCGGCGCTCGGGCGTCCTCCTCTCTCCCCGGCCCTGGCCCGCACCCCTCCCGCATCCGAGGGCGAGGGCAGGGAGGTCGTGGAACCGAGGCGACAAGCCCGGAATAAAACCCGGACGAGAGAGAACAAAGCAGGCGGCAAAGGGGGCGTCGGGCCTCCCCGCCCTGCTCCCGGGGGTCTGTGTGGCTGGGGGCTCAGGGTCTACGTCCCGGGAGCAGCCCCGCCCGCCCGCGCGCGCCCCGCACCTGCTCCGCCTGGCGCCAGGACATGCTCCGGTTGGAGGGAATAGTCGGGTCCCGGGGAGCGCGGTTGGTGGTAACTGTGAGCCTTCTTGCTCTTAACAAGGAACGAACGCGGCATGATGGTGGGGCGGGCTGCGCTCCCCAGTCCGTTTGCACGGGTCCCTGGCGTCTCCGTCCCGGCGCTGTCACCCCGAATTCTTGCTCAGCCCCAGCTAGACGGAGACCTGCGAGAGGAGAACCGGGTGGAAACCGGGTCAGCACGCTCCGGGCCCGGGAACGGGCAGCCAAGCAGAGATAGAGCTCGTGCCAGGGAGGAGAGAGTCAGGCTCGCGGGAGGAGGGGCTTGGCCCCGCTGCGCCACGCTCACCAGGTGGCACTCGGACAGGTGGCGCGAGTCCGCCGCCGCCGCCGCCGCCGCCGCCACAGCTCACCCGGGCCGGGACTCAGGCCTCTTCCTCTGCCTCGCCCACGCCCCTCGGGCCCTCCCCTTCTCCAGCAACACCGTTCAGCAAAGCCTCCCAGGAGCCCGAGTACCCAACGGGCCGCTTATTCCAACTCGACCCGCTGGGCTCTGCTTTCGGGCTGGGGACGAGGGCGGGGGGCGCGAGGACAAATTTAGGGACTGGGGGTGTGTCGATGGTCGAGGACCCGGAAGAGGCAAGTAGCCAAGCCCTTCGAGAACCAGCTACAAACTAGAGGGAAGGGGGGCAGGGCGGGGCACACTGGGCAGGATGAGGGTTGGGGTCGGGGGCGGGTCTCAGAGGGGGACCCGGGCAGCAGAGGTCCGAGAAAGAAGGTAGGAGAGCAGGGGTACCAGAAGGGGAGGCGAGGCAAGTGGCAGAGGACCAAGCCCGGCCCTGGGAGGAACTCGCATCCTGGCAATCTTACTCGTCCCACACTCAGTGCTCCACGCGGGGAAAAAGTTAAACCTGGAGACGTGGGTGCGGCGAAAGCAGGCAAGGTCCGGGGACAGACACCCCGGACCCTGGAGACCTAACCTTGGAAACCAAGTCCCGAGAAAAACCACTTTCCACTCTGCTCACCAAAAACCTTGTCCTGGGGAGGTCGAGCCCTAACGGCGCGCACTGGCTGAGAAGCGCGCGGCGTCCTCCTAGGTCAGAGCCCGCAGAGAACCAACAGTTCAGTGGGCGCGGGAGAGTCGAGGTCCGCGCGCGGGCCTGGGAGAGCGCTCACTGCCCGCTCTGCCGCTCTCATTAACCCCCCAATCAGTTCACCTAATCCCGGGGTCGAAACCTGAGCCCGGCGGAGAGGCGGGGAGGCGGGGAGGCGGGGAGGCGGGGTAGCGCCTCTGCGCTGCTCGGGTCTCTCTCCGGGGGCGGGACTAGGGTGGCTAAGGAGGTCTGGAGAAAATGAATCTGCCTTCCTCCCGGGGTGAAGGCGACGGGGGCTGGGTACACTTGTGAGCTGCAGGCTCTTCGAGCAACAACGCTCCGTGGTCTTAGCTAGTTCAGAAACGGGGCTCTGGGGATGATAGTCCTTGGGCTTCGCGAGGTTAGATCTGCCCAAGGAGTCAGCGGCTCCCAGGGCAGGACGCAGGACGCCGTCTAAGTCTGCCCATTGGCGCTCCGGGCATAAACGTAATTCTAGGGGACTCGTTCCCTGGAGGGCATTCCACGTCCCACCGTGTCTCCTTCCCCGGGAGAGGAGTGGGGACGGGCTTGGAGGAAAGAAGGCTGAGACTTGTAGCTTAAACCCAATCCACGTTTCCGCGTCCTAAGTGCCAGGAGGCCCCCTAGGGGTGAGGGTGCTTCCCGCCTCCAACCGGGTCGGCCCCGAGGGTCGGGGTGCTGGGCTGAGCTAAGGCGCAGTTCTGTTGCTTCAGTGTTTCCCTGCGCCCGGCGTGAGCTGCCCTTCGACCATGTAATGAGACACTACGAACGCAAAAAACCCATTCCTTAAACAACCATGAAACTAAAAGGAAAAGGTAAACGAGGTGAAACGGTCCCGCGGGCCCTACTGCGTCCTGAGTACCCGTTGGCGTAGAGCCGAACAGCGGGGGTCGGGGCAGGGTTTGAGGTGTCCGCGGCCCCTCTTCTGGACTGACCGGGGCCGCGGGGATCAGGCGGGCGAAGAGGCTGCCTCCCCGCCCCTGCCACAGCCCCGCGCCTCTCTCGCATCCTGGCTGGTTCTGCGGGTTCCTGGGAGGGTGGAGTGGAGGGGGGGGGAGGTAGGGCCGAGCACTGAGCGCGTGGGAAGGCGACCTCGCTTAGCAGCTGGCGGCCAGGGGGCGGGGCGGCCCTCGCAGCGCACGCGGGTCCGCAGGGCCTCCGTTCACGGTCAGGGCCTGGGAAGACGGGAGCTGGAGGCACCGAGCGGGCAGCCTACAGAGCTCAGCTGCCGCCGCCTCCCCAGCAGATGTTTCCCTCCCGGGCAGATCCCGCTCCCCTGAAAAACCACCAAACGTCCAGGCGCGTGTCCCCAGCCCTGCCGTGCGGGTCGGCCGGGACCCAGAGGACAGAGCTCTCCGCGCTCCCGCACAGCTGCCCACAGAGGATGGGACCCCAGCGGCGCCCTCCGTTCGCCCCGGCAGTGCCCGTGCCGGCCAGTTTTCGCGGTCGCCCCCGCCAGGGAGGGACGTGCAAAACAGGCGCAGCGAACCTACCTGCGGGGTCAAGGCGCGGGCACCGCGCTCGGAGAGTTTTCAAACTGAGCAGCTCTCCAGACGGATCTCTCTCTCTCTCTCTCTCTCTCTCTCTCTCTCTCTCTCTCTCTCTCTCTCTCTCTAATCTCCTTCGGAGCTCAGCCCCCAAAACCACAAGCTTCACTTCCTGAGCGTTAAGGAGTAACTCGCTGAGCCCTCTCAGACCTCCCCCCACCACCCCCGAGTCCGGCGGCGGGGCGCGCTCTTCCTTTGCGCAAGGCACTAGCTGGACAGGGGGCCCGGCCTTTCCAGCTTCCCTCCCCAGCGCCCCTCCCCGTTTTCTCTCTGTGGGACGGCGGGGGTGGGGAGACCCGAAGGACTCAGACACTAGGAATGACTCGAAAGAAAATGAACTATTCTTGGCTCCTGGGAGACTTCCGCGGCAAGAAGTCACAGATTCAGGACACAGATTGACTGGAGCGTCGGACTGGCAGAGCCCAGCTCCGAAGCCTCCCGACCCATCTGGCCCGGGACCTCCCCCCCCTCCTCCCCCCAACCCCGCCGCCCGCTTGGGCTGCGCCGCCCCCGGGGTTGGGGCCGTGAATCACCCGCCCGCGTGCCGCCGGCCTGGAGCCCGGCGAGTGGCGCGGCGTCCGCAGAGCGAAACCTGCCCCGTGGCCCGAAATAGCTTGTTGTGGAAACACTTGGGGATAAATACGCCCAGCGAGCTTGAAAATACCTTGACACCCAATCCGAGAGGTTTGCTCATTTCCCTTCGGATTTAGGTAATGGTTAAATTTGGAAAAGGTGGGCGAGCGCCGAGCCCCCGGCCGAGAGGGCGCTGGCGGCGCGTCCCGGGGCGCCCGGCTTGACTGGAGGGCGCGCCCTCCCCACGCCACGCTCCCCGCGTGGTGCCGGGTGCGCTCAGCCTGCGGCTAATTTCCGGTGGTCTGAGCTGCGAAACTGCAGACCGCGCGGGAGGGAGCGCACGGGGGCAGCCGCGGGGGCTGCTCCGCTGACCCCGCCCTGCCCGGTAAAGCCAGGGAGAGCCAGATCTCAGGCGCGGGCGCCGCAACAGCCGGAGATCACATCCAGGCACCTGGTCCTAAGGGGAGCAGTAAAGCGCCATAAGAGCGATACCTGATGGTTATTAAAAGTTAATCTTCGCCGGGATTGTGTTCCATGAGAGCGGGCATCTGAACCTACATTAAGTCCCTGGTAGTCTCAACAAATGTCTGTGGATGGAGTCAATGAATAAATGGCATTAATTGGTTAATTCTATTAATAGAACGGGGAGGGAGCCAAAATCTCACGCATAAATTAAACAAATGCAGCAACCTCCAGCGCTAGTCTGTATGTCATGATCTATAGTGTGGCCTGTTGTGTAAATCTAAGCCTAAACCCTCCCCTGGTAAGGGTGGATATCCGTGTAATTACATTGCTTTCCTAAATGGGTGACTTAGATTTTGGTCACTAGTTCATGCACAATAAGTCTCCAGTGTTAGATACCCAGAGAAGGGAATAGTGCTCCTCAATTTTTTCAAATTAACAACCATGTATTAAATTAATTAAAAGTTGTCATGGGCGGCGGGGGGGGGGGGAGTCCCTTAGAGCCCTTTTCCTAGAGAATGCTTTTTAAAGTGATTTTTAATTTGCACTGTAAATCTAAAGATTTGCAGAAAATATTTGGTTACCAAGGCAGTGCTTCAAGCATGCTTTGATAAACTGTATTTTATACAGAAATGATTGCACACCTACTGTGTGGCAAGTGCTAGATTAGACACATCTTAAATTATGTGTCTAGCTGTCCCCTTCACACTACTATTATTTTACTCAACATACCCTTTTATAAATAAATGCAGAGGTAATCAACCTCAATTAAAAGAATTACAAATATTGAATTAGCTAAAGGAAAATTAACACATTGCGGGTAGTTTTTATCGCGAGCTAACAGGTGGAACTGGTAGAACGTATAAATACGTTTCCCCGCATACAATGTGTTAAGTGCATTTAAAATTTTTATTTCTTGTGTGCTTTGTCTTGGCCTAAGGTCTAAAATCTTAAAGACCATTTTCTTTGCACATTAGCAAGTTCAAAGTTAAGATTTCTTAAAAAGGCACTGTGACTAGTAGTTTAGTTGAGTATTGCTGTTTAAGGTCTTAGAAAACATGGGTGGGAGGCTATGAAGGGGGCAATTAATCACCCAGCACAGCATCCATTTCATTCAGATTAAATCTAGTTGGCTTGCTTTGTTTGCCCTTTCCAACCTCTGAGTTTGCAAAATAAAAGTGGGGACAAGAATATCCAGGGAGAGGCAGGTGGGAGGAAGATGACGACAGATCCCCCTTTATATGTTTTGAACCATGTGACTGTATTACCAACTCAACTGAAGAAATACACATTGAAATATTTAACTAGCAAGATCAGGTCATTTCGCATGTGTATAGTGTTGAAATGTGATTCCCACACTCAGGGGGAGCAGAGAGAAAAGTAAGAAGAGGGGCACCCAGAGAGGT